AAATAAAAATAACACATGTCTAGATCATAAGCAAAACAGACTTCTTATGTAGCAAGCAGTCAGTAAGTTACTTCAGATACTTTATGTAATGATTCTAGAGGTTATTTTTGTCTTTTATCTCTGACACCCGAAAATTGTATATGATTTCTCTTCACATTTGCTAAAACAGAGATCTAACTTTTATTTAACTCTGAATCATCGTCTTAAAAGTTTGTTACATTAAATAATATATTTGTTTTCAAATTTAATTTGTTTATATTATATTTGTTCTTAAATTTTATTAGATTTGTTGCAGTGCAATCATGAAATAAAATGCAACCAAACCAAAAACACTTAATTGGTAACTTGAGATAATAAATACGTCTCTCATAATAATATATTATATTATATTATATTATATTATTGCTCAAGTGTTATTCCTTTCATATACATATATATTTTTGTGTGTTCCACAAAAGAAAAAAATGTCATACAGGTTTGGAGCAACAGGAGTAAATGATGACAGAATTTTCATACTTTCGGCATGGGATGAGCTACATGTTTAATGCCAGGATGATCTTAATAATTTAATACTTAGCCAGCACAACTAATAAATGTTGTTTACTTGGCATATTATCAGCTTTTAATGAGGTGTAAAATCTGTAGACTATTTACAGATGGGCTGTGCTGTTAGCCATATTAGTTTCTAAGAACATTTTTATGCCATTTGTATTGTTTAGCGTTCAGTACACATATTGTAATTGAGGCTGATGAGTTTGAAAGGGTTTGAAATGGTGGACGACACACGTATACACAAATATATGAACTCTATTACCCTTTCCCTCATTCACACACACACACACACACACACACACACCACTCATCTACAAACAAAAACACTCTGTTATGAGCACTCGCCTGAATGAGAGGAGGTTTATGAGAGAGAGAGGAGGAAAATTGTAGAGAGACAGAGAGATCTTCACCCACATTGTTCCACTGATGCAGCAGAGACTGATACATAATTCATGCTATTCAGCTGCGTGTGCGAAATATGAAATAAAAATAAGGCACATATGGTCAGTAGCGAGTAGTGAGACACGAGTGATACTATCTACACACACAGCGCTAATAACAGAAGCCTGACGGCCTCTGTGTCTCTCACACACTGAGTCACACTCACTTCATGTTTAATGTTTAGGATCAGAAATGATCAGCACATTAAAGTCATAAAAGCACTAAAGACAGATTCTTCATAAGAAACAGATGTCCACAGATTTTGTAACACTAACTATGTTGGCAAAGCTGAATTTTCAGCATCATTACCCCAGTCTTCAGAGTCACATGATCCTTCAGAAATCATTCTAGTATGTTGATAATCATTGCTTATTATTATTATCAATGTTGAAAACAGTTGTACTGCTTAATAGATATGTGGGAACCATTATAAAAAAAAATTCAATATCCTTTAATGAATAGAAAGTTCAAAAGAACACCATTTGCTTAAAATAGTTTTTTGTAACATATTATATATTAGCTATATATTAAGTAGTCTATACACTTGTGCATTACTCTGAAATCTCATTTATGTTCAAATATGGTGTCACGATAAGTTTGACCCAGGACGTTGCCTTTATATTAATGAAATATCAATTTAAATGGTCTTTGTATGCCCTCAGAAATATTGAAATATAGCTTATGAATCATATTGACTACATTAAGGTAATTTTACTGGGATTTTTTTTTTTCATTTTTTGAACCTCAGCAGCCTCTGTTTGCATACAATTGTTGAATGGAAAAAGAGCAGCTACGTTCAGCAAAATATTTAAAAGTGTTTGGAATGATATATGAGGTAAATGAATTTTCACTTTTATAACTAAACTATTGCTTTAAATCTATATTATGAAGATGCATAATAAGCAGAAGCATACACAAAGGCTGATAAATATTTATATACGTCATTTTTGCTATCAAGTTGTTTTCTTATAATTCAGGTTAAAACCTTACTCCTCTGAGGCATTAATGAATGTTGCAAGATATGAGATCTTAATCATATCAAGAAAAAGGCTTTATGAGATGGGGATTGATTTTTTTTTGTATTTGATGCAATTACAACCTTTCTTCCTCAAGATTCAAGCATGAAGGCATGCAACAACAAAAACAGACTATATCAAAGTGTCTGTGTAATGTATTTCATCCATACAGTCCTAAGCACACTCAGAAGCTTCTGACATGCTGGGAATTAACAATGATGCTAAATCCGTTTAAGGCGATGAAAGATTTTGTAACACTAACTATGTTGGCAAAGCTGAATTTTCAGCATCATTACCCCAGTCTTCAGAGTCACATGATCCTTCAGAAATCATTCTAGTATGTTGATAATCATTGCTTATTATTATTATCAATGTTGAAAACAGTTGTACTGCTTAATAGATATGTGGGAACCATTATTAAAAAAAATTCAATATCCTTTAATGAATAGAAAGTTCAAAAGAACACCATTTGCTTAAAATAGTTTTTTGTAACATATTATATATTAGCTATATATTAAGTAGTCTATACACTTGTGCATTACTCTGAAATCTCATTTATGTTCAAATATGGTGTCATGATAAGTTTGACCCAGGACGTTGCCTTTTATTTAAATAACAAAAATGAGACTTGACAGGAAGATTTTCAATGAAATATCAATTTAAATGGTCTTTGTAGGCCCTCAGAAATATTGAAATATATCTTATGAATCATATGGACTACATTAAGGTAATTTTACTGGGATTTTTTTTGTCATTTTTTGAACCTCAGCAGCCTCTGTCTGCATACAATTGTTGAATGGAAAAAGAGCAGCTACATTCAGCAAAATATTTAAAGAAAAGTGTTTGGAATGATATATGAGGTAAATGAATGTTCACTTTTATAGCTAAACTATTGCTTTAAATCTATATTATGAAGATGCATAATAAGCAGAAGCATGCACAAAGGCTGATAAATATTTATATACGTAATTTTTGCTATCATGTTGTTTTCTTATAATTCAGGTTAAAACCTTACTCCTCTGAGGCATTAATGAATGTTGCAAGATATGAGATCTTAATCATATCAAGAAAAAAGGCTTTATGAGATGGGGATTGATTTGTTTTGTATTTGATGCAATTACAGCCTTTCTTTCTTCAAGATTCAAGCATGAAGGCATGCAACAACAAAAAAAGACTATATCAAAGTGTCTGTGTAATGCATTTCATCCATACTTCTGAATGCTTCTGACATGCTGGGAATTAACAATTATGCTAAATCCGTTTAAGGCAATGAATCCAGATATCTTGCCCTTTTTAAAAAAAAAATTTATTACAATATCTCAATGCATTTTCTCCTAATTCTCTGCTAAGTTAATGAGACAACCTTCATAGATATGACTCCTGAATCGATTATCACGGAGACCACTGGCTTACATTTACAACACACACACTATGAAAGCCTGTTAAAGCCTGAGATTTGGCCTATGACTGTGCAGAGCAGCCCAAAGGAATTGACTGAGCTGTTAGCAGATCAGAGAGCGCCCCCCAGTGTTACTGATCCTCAGTGATTACTAACGAAAAAGTGCCTTGTTACAGACACACTGGCTATGATCAGAATGTAATAGAGGCATACTGAGAGGACTTTATGTACTGTATATTGACTGTTTAGAAAAAAAAGAACAGTATGCAGCATGCAATGATAAACAAATAACAACAACATTCTTTTTTTTTTTTTTTTTTTTTTTACAATATCCCAATGCATTTTCTCCTAATTCTCTGCTAAGTTAATGAGACAACCTTCATAGATATGACTCCTGAATCGATTATCACGGAGACCACTGGCTTACATTTACAACACACACACTATGAAAGCCTGTTAAAGCCTGAGATTTGGCCTATGACTGTGCAGAGCAGCCCAAATGAATTGACTGAGCTGTTAGCAGATCAGAGAGCGCCCCCCAGTGTTACTGATCCTCAGTGATTACTAACGAAAAAGTGCCTTGTTACAGACACACTGGCTATGATCAGAATGTAATAGAGGCATACTGAGAGGACTTTATGTACTGTATATTGACTGTTTAGAAAAAAAAAGAACAGTATGCAGCATGCAATGATAAACAAATAACATTTTTTTTCACATGACCTTACCATGTAGCATGTTTAATTCAATATACTGTAGTTAGTTTGCATTTAGTCCAATTTTACTTCGAAAAAAATAAATAAATTGGGCAGCCTAAAAAGTAATGAGTAGAATAGTATTGAGGCATAGTATGCAGTATGCAATGATGAACAATATAGTTGTAATGTGGGGTTTGGGTTTTGGGTTTTGTTTCATGTTTTCATGTCTTTTATTTTGTAATTGTTTCACCCTGTTTGTGTCATGCTTCCCTTGCCCTCATATATTCATGCCATTGGTTCTCTTGTTCATTGTGTCATGTTCTGATTGGTTGTCTTAGTCATGTGTCTTGTTTTCCATTGGTTTGTTCATGTCATGTGACCCTTCTTGTTTGATATAAGTAGCCATCATGTTCCCATTGTACCTTGTTGTGTATTGATGTTGTAACCCGCTGTCGGTGAGTCTAGTCTGTTCATGCCTCGTCAAGTCTGTACATGCTTCGTCAAGTCAAGTCTGTTCATGTCAAGTCAAGTCACGGATTTTTGTTTGGATGTAAATAAACTGCACTTGGGTTCACACTTCAACTCGCCTTCAGTGGACTGAATATCGTTACAATAGTATGCAACATTTTGCATTTTAGTCCTATTTTACTTATGGTTGTATGTCATTCAAAACATTAAAAACTTAAGATGACAATGTCTGTCATATTGTTAATTTCTAACACACTTCCTGAATTAAATTCACGCAGCCTCTTTCCAAAACCCTGCCCTCAAAAAACTGGAAACTCTATGTCAGCGGCCCACTCATTTCAGTTCTACCTGTCAGCCAGCAGGAGCATTTTATCACTTATAGCAGCTGTAATGAAAATGTTCAGTAAAATTTGCACACAAACGAACCTCCCACAGGGTTTTGAACTCCCTCTGTTCAATGCGCAGAAGTTCACTGTTCTCTCGGCTGACAATCGTGGCATGTCGAGGAGTGTTATCCAGAATTGACTCCCCGAATGCTGTCCCCACTCCCAGAGTACAGATCGTTACAGCATCCTACAGAAAAAAAAGAAATAGTAAGAAGAGTGAAAGACAAACAGAGGGAGAAAGCATGAAAACATCTTTGCAAGCTAATTATAAAGATCTTAAAGGAGAAGTTGACCTAAAATGAAAACTGTGCCATCATTCCACATGTAAACATGTACGGCTTCAGTGAATAGCAAATAAACAAATAAAGGAACAGTTGACCAAAGAAATTCAAATTTGCTAAAAAATTAGGCCATCCAAGATGTAGATGAGTTTGTTTCTTCATTAGAACCGCTTTGGAGAAATGTGGCATTGCATCTCTTGAATGGGTGCCGTCAGAATAAGAGTCCAAACAGCTGACAAAAACATCACAATAATCCACACGTAAACAACACCAGTCCATCAATTAACAGCTTTTGAAGCAAAAATCTGCATGTTTGTAATAAACAAATTCAACATCAAGATGTTTTTAACATTACTTACAGCTAAAATATAGTCTCTAGCTATAATACTGTTTTCTGAATAAGGAGAGAAATATGCACAGATCAACCAAAGTGAAAACAGTCCAAAACAGTTATAAATAACTATGCATTTATGTATTTAATAACTATGGATTTTGATGTGAGAGGACAACAGGAATTGGACTTTTTCAGTATTTTGTCCAAAAGCGATAGTTTAATGTTAAAACACATTAATGATGGATTTGTTTCTTACAAGTGTGCATACTTTTGACCTCACAAGACATTTATTGAATGAATGGAGTGGTGTGGATTACTTGTGGATTATTGTGATGTTTTTATCAGCTGTTTGGACTCTCATTCTGACGGCACCCATTCACTGCAGAGGATCCATTGCTGAGCAAGTGATGTAATGCTACATTTCTCCAAACCTGTTCTGATGAGGAAACAAACTTATCTACATCTTGAATGGCCTGAGGATGAGTCAACAATTACTTTAAATGCAAAGCTCCACATGGCTTTAAATGACCCCTAAATCTCCATTCATTGTAATTGCACTGAAAATAATTTTAATTTTGAGGTGAACTATTGCTTTAAAGATTCTTCTAATTCATGTACATTTATGCACACTCTAAGGGAATGTGCTTAGTGAGGTTTAAAAAGATCGCTGCACATAACAAGTGATTTGAGATCAGTAAAACACAAGCTCACACACTCATAAATGAGTCATATTACATTCACAAATACACTTCTTTTCTACACCCTGTCTTGCGTTTTACATTCATTTAATCAGAGCAGCGTGATAATAGCTTATTGCCCAATGGATCACTCCATGAAACTGGAGCATCACACAAGCCGTTAATATTGCATCAGTGAAACAGCAATTCTCATATGCACATACTGTATGCAGACAAAACTACACACACGTTCATCTGCACGCAGGACATTCATAGCTGCAGGGCAACAGCAGAATTGTGAAAGAGAAGCATAACATGATGCCTTGTGTCAGTTCTATGCACAATTGTGCATGTAATCAAGCAAGTACAACCCAGAATGCTTTAAATATGACTGCTACAATGCATACAGACACAGAGGGGAAAATATTATTCAGAGGTTACTCATTCATAGTTAGAATTAGTTTTCATTTTTTTATTTATTTCAGTTAATTCCTGAGGAGAAATAAAAGTAGAAGCAAATCAGATGATTCTGACATACTGTCAGAAGCTATAAAATATGAAAAAATCTGAATCTGAGCAAAGTTTGAGATTAAAGGACACATATGAGATTAATGTGGTCATTTTCTCATGAGAAAAATATATAAGGCAGACTGCAGCATACACTAATGTTTGGGGTCAGTATTAATATTTTACTCAACAAGGATGCATTAAATTGCTGAAAAGTGAAGGTAAAGACAATTTACAAATTACAAAAGATTTTTATTCACTTAAATGCTGTTCTATTGAACGTTTTATTCATCAAAGCATCAAGAAAAAATGCATCACAATTTCCAAAAAAATTGATTTCAAAAATAATAATTCAACAAGAATGATTTCTGAAGGATCATGTGACACTGAAGACTGGAGTTCAAATATAAAATCAAATAAAATTCTTACTGTTTTTCCTGTATTTCTGATCAAATAAATGCAGCCTTGGTGAGCCGCATTTTTCATCAAAAATATTTGTAAAAATCATACCGTCCCAAACTTTTGAACTGTTGTGTAATCTAAAATTAAGATTATGTAGAAATACTATCTTTGATCTTAATATGTCTATAAACACGATCACTTCAAAAACTGCCCAACATTGCTTTGTTTGAACCAGTCTAACACAGAACCATTAGCTCAACCAGTGCCATGTGTTTGTGGTGGGACTGTAAGTTTGACTGACCAACATTGATTATTTCTGCAATTCTGATTGGTGGAAATCTAAACTTTACCTGCAAAGAGATCACATTCTATACATCAATATATCGATTCTATAAGGTCTAATATGCAACGCAAGGAAGCTTCTGGAATCTTTGGAAATCCTTCTTCAGCTGTGTGGGAGTGATGTATGCTTTAAGGCCAGTAAACACATCTGACAGTGTGACTCATTGTATTCCCAGTGGATTCCCAGAAAGATGCTTCTATCCCCAGCAGCACTGCATCAGCGTCCTCATTTACAGTATCAGACTATTAACAAGGCCATCCGTGGACCGTTCACCCACTCACATGCTGATGGATGCAAATGATGTCTGCCAGGCTGAACTACTACTTATCTCAGCTGACTCCTAGCAGATTGAGGCTTCAAATGATCCTGATTGTGGTCTCTCTTACCTGATGGTTGGCTGTCTCAGACACTTTCACATCCAGAGATCCAGACAGAACCGCGTACCAGCTGGTCCCGATGTCACCCTGCCGATACACTGCAGGCAAAAACAGAGTCTATGAATACTGATTCACAAATCGCAGAGGAATTCTTCATTTTGATTTCAGGACAGTTACTTCTTTTCATTAACATAGCATGTGCTTCTTATTGTCTCATTAAGTGGCAAATTCAACATTTTTAAGTACAGATTCAGGACTACATGCTTAACAATAAAACTTTCCATTCAAGAACATAATCGAGTTTTATAGCCTGAAGCCATAGGAGAACATTTTCAGGTTCCACAGAGAATATTTGATTTGAGTTATTTAGTAAACCATCTAAATAACTCAGAATCCAATATAGGGATATGAAGAAGCTATAATGTACACTACCTTTCAAAAATGTCTTTGAAATGTCTTGTATGCTCACCAAGGCTGCATTCTTTATCAAAAATACAGCTAAAACTCTAATATTGTGAAATATTATTACAAAATTAAACCGTTTTCTATTTTAATATATTTTAAAATGGATTTTTTTTTTCCTGTGAAGGGAAAACTGAATTGTCAGAGGCCATTACTCAAGTGTTCAGAAATCATTCATATGCTGATTTGGTGCTAATTAATGTTAAGTAGTGTTAAAAACTGTTGTGCTGAATAATATTTTTGTGATACATTTTCTTATTTTTGGAATTCTTTGATGAATAGAAAGTTCAAAAGAACAGCATTTATTTGAAATAAAAATCTTTAGTACCATTATAAATCTTTTACGTTCACTATTAATCAATTTAATGCATCCTTGCTAAATACAGTATTAATTTCTTTTTAAAAAAAACTTTTAAATGGTAGTGTAACAATCAAAAACATTTTTTTAATCTCCAAAGAATCATACAAGGAACTCAAGCACCCCATATAAAAAAAAAAAAATTAAAAAATCTATTTTTTCAGATTTTAATTAATTAATTTCTTTCCTATAGCCACCTGAAAACACATGACTGGTTTCAAATCAGAAAAAAAAAAACATAAACTGGAATAATATCCGAAAGCATCATGATAAAAATACTAAACGTGGTTCTTACAGGTGATGCCCTTCTCCAGACACTCATAGAAGCCACACATGCAGATCTGCTGCAGCAGGTTTGGGTGAAACTTCTCAAAGGCCTTCACACCCCTCAGCCGAGCCAGAATGATATCCACATCTTCTCCCGAGCGTTCTGCTGGCCTAAAAAACAGGCAAACAGACATTATGGTGTGGGTAGACGCTCTCTAACCAAACTGACCAACAAGAAAATTCTGACACTGCTGCGATGCATGTGACAATTACGAGGACAGACGAAGTTGTGTCCATTAGAATAAGCACATTGTGCTGTCTGTAGGATAAGGAATGTGTATTAATGTGATCAAGATTACGGTTTTTGTCATCACTCCTGTCAAAATACAAGCCATGAATCATATAAACATTCATATAGAACTTCAGCAGCTTGATTTAAGGTGCGCGCAGGCACATAAAGATCCTCTTCACATTTGCACAAATATAGCCATGCTCTCACTTCTCAGCTCATTAAGTGACATGTGTGAGTGTGTGTGTGTGTGTGTGTGTGTGTTGTGCACTTGAGTGAATAGATTGCCTCTCTTAAGGATGTCAGTATGCTGTAATTCGAACTCCTTTTATTCCGAAATGCCTTGTTGCTATGGAGATTACAGCACGAGGAAATTAAGACTTCAAAGACATTTTTCAAACCAAGGGCAGTGGGACAAATTTTATATGGAGACTAATCAAGCTAATGAAGTTCCACAATAGATTACAAACAGAAAACTAGACCTACTCTTTTAGTACTGGCTTCGAAACGGCAACAAACCAAGGCAGGCGAGTCATTGCTTCTCAAAACCTGATTTTTTTGACGTGTACTTTTATTATCATTCTCAGATAAAATGATAAACAACACAAAAATATCTGATCTATAATCTATCACTAATTTCCTGAACACATATTTGATATATGAAAATATGTGTGACTTTATATAAGAAAAAATACCTGAACAATTTACTGAAAACATATATTTAAAGTTTTTAATCAAGCTAATGAAGTTCCACAATAGATTACAAACAGAAAACTAGACCTACTCTTTTAGTACTGGCTTCGAAACGGCAACAAACCAAGGCAGGCGAGTCATTGCTTCTCAAAACCTGATTTTTTTGACGTGTACTTTTATTATCATTCTCAGATAAAATGATAAACAACACAAAAATATCTGATCTATAACCTATCACTAATTTCCTGAACACATATTTGATATATGAAAATATGTGTGACTTTATATAAGAAAAAATACCTGAACAATTTACTGAAAACATATATTTAAAGTTTTTTGGACAGTTGGGTGTCTTGTTAAAATGGTGAGTGGAAAATTATATTTGACATGATAACTTAATCAAAAGAGTACTTTATGTACATAAACAAATAAATACAAAGATATATGTGACCCTTGACCACGAAACCAGTCTTAAGTCGCTGGGGTATATTTGTAGCAATAGCCAAAAATACATTGTATGGGTCAAAATGATTGATTTTTCTTTTATGCCAAAAATCATTAGGATATTAAGTAAAGATCATGTTCCATGAAGATATTTTGTAAATTTCCTACTCTAAATATATCAAAACGTAACTTTTGATTAGTAATATGCATTGCTAAGAACTTCATTTGGACAACTTTAAAGGTGATTTTCTCAGTATTTAGATTTTTTGCACCCTCAGATTCCAGATTTTCAAATAGTTGTATCTCGGCCAAATATTGTCCTATCCTAACAAACCATACATCAACGGAAAGCTTATTTATTCAGCTTTCAGATGATGTAGAAATCTCAATTTTGAAAAATTGACACTTAAGACTGGTTTTGTGGTCCAGGGTCACATATATCACAATATATATTTTCCTTATAACTGAGTACATATATTCTCTATGTAATTATATGGTACATGCATGTGCAAATATATTTACATGAAAACAGTACCAGATTTTACACCTATATATTATGAAGGATTTTACTGAATATAAAATGTACACATACAGTGTTATGATATATAAGTAAATATATTGTCACATATTTTTTCAATATATGAACCGTGGCAATTCCTTATGTATTACTGATTATACTGGAATATATTAAATATATAATTTGGTAATTTCAAATACGGATTGTTAATTAATACATTTTCTTTGTGTAAGGGATACCCCATTTTTTTTTTAAAGTTTTAACTTGTCTTGAAAGAGGTGTTTGCTAACAAGTTGCTAAATGAAACTACAGAGGTTGTCGGGACATTAAACGTCATCATGGTGAACAGGTAAACTCATCTACTCAGAATGACCATCAAAACGGTTAAATGAAGGTAAAATCCCAGAGTCACTGACTGTGATCTGTACTGTTAAACAGGACAGATCAGCTAAAATACAGACACTAACAATTCCAGAGCTTGAACTCTCTGAAACCACAGAAAGAGGGGAAATCACATCATATGACTGTGAAGGTGACCTTCTTCAGCTATTACTTGCACACTCTACTGTATGTAAAACTCTTTTATTATTCAGTGCATCACTGAGATCCAGTTAGACCAGATGAGCGTCATTTACATTAACTAGTTCTATATTTATTATTTGCCTGCAGGTTATGCTGAGCTGCAGGCTGATCTCGTGTGATCTGGACCAGTTGGCCTGTGCTGCTGTGGATGTGAGAGGGTGAGAGTGCCGTAGACTTTTATGTGCTGAGATTCACTGGCGTGGAAACACATTACCAGCATATATCTGCTGGGCACAGAATGGACACTGCATTACAGCGGCCGCCAGTGCAAAGCCATGCCTCCCTCTCTCTGTCTCGCTCATGCACTTTTCACCTATGTTTCTTTCTTTTTCTCATATAGCTCCAGCCCATTATGAAGCTTTCTGCAATTCATATGATGTGACACCGGCAAACGAGTTCAATGGAGAAGCGTGTCATTCACTGTCGCTGACAGAAGAAACAGCGCAGCATCCACACGATTTCCCAATAAAATCCTTGCAGAAAACAAAATGCACATTTATACCTGATGCCTATTCAGATGCAGGTGATGCATCAGGGACGCGGAACAGAAGAACGCGCGTTCTGCTGCTGTCACCTTGTTGCAACTCCTCCGGACATTGACATGAACGAACGTAAAGATCGCTTTCGGACGCGATCTGGTGTCTCTCACCTCTTGTCCAGGCAGATGATCCACTCTGAGGAGGCCACGGAGTGCGCAGAGGCGTGCACCGCTACCATCTTCGGCTCCACCGGTGTGAATCGTGCGTCGCGTAGCGGATCGCGGATCTCGTCGACTCGGGCGCAGCAGCATCAGTGCTCGCCCCCTCCGCGCCTCTGTCGTCAACTGGATCACCGCGGCGTGGACTCGTCGTCACCACGTTCACGCACGACGAGCGTTTACAAGCGTGACTGCACACACCGGCACGACGTCACGTTCTGAACAGGTGTAGATCGTAAGCTGATGATGGGTCAAATCAAATAACGTGGTTGCCATGCAAGGAAAATAACGGGAGGCTGGTGATATAAGGGAAGAACTGACAGCCGGCTAAAATGAAGGTTTTGTGGATGACAGCGGTGGTACTGATGCTGCACTGTCGCCATGGCGACGGGCACGCAGTCAGCGCGGATGCTGCATCCAGACAAGGGGAAATGTGAAGCGCTGTCAGGCGTCTTGTCCTCCTCTCCGGGGGAGACACTGATAGTAACAGGAGAGAGACGCTGGGAGCTGACTACACTGTAAAAAGCCAAACAGGTGCAGTTGTAAAACAAAAAAGTTAACCCAATGAAGTCTGGTTTATTAATAACACTAAATATTAATAATAACTCTGAGGGGTTGACATCATCTCTTATCCGGTGTTCTGGATCCAGACTGAAGCTTGTGTAAATCCTAGTTACCACGGGATTTCAATCACGTGGCAGAAACAGGGAAACAAATAGAGACATAATTAGTGTAGCTGCTGTTCCAACCAAGCAAATTTGATTTGTTTAACCCAAGCTAAAGAATAATAATGTGCATTTGATCAGATATAGCTGCAGTACAAGATTATGAAATACATTATTTGAATGCTTGCCCAAAGAGATGTGTCTTTAATCTAGATTTAAACAGAGAGAGTGTGTCTGAACCCCGAACGTTATCAGGAAGGTTATTCCAGAGTTTCCGAGCCAAATGCGAAAAAACTCTACTTCCTTTAGTGGACTTTGCTATCCTAGGTACTACCAAAAGTCCAGAGTTTTTTATCAGTGAAGAAATTCATAAAGTCATTACTATTAAACTGTGAGGGAATATTTAAATCGGGTGGCGTCTGGTTATTCGTTAATATAGCTACTGTGCTAAATAAAAACCTTGGATTGTTTTGGTTATTCTTCCTGGACGATAACGCGGAGCCATATAGTTAATATCAGTAAAATGCAGCATGCACGATACAATGGTCAGTAACATCATCACTTTGAGGTACGATATCTATATCAGTAAGATCGATTACATTTATTTAAGATCGATAAATAAATGTAAAAGTGAATAAATAATATAATTATTCAAAATGCTAATATTAACAACCTTTTGGTGTAACAATGTCTGGTTGATTCATTCATGTTAATATTGAAGATTTTTATTTCACAATATTAATATAATTAATCAATAGAAAATAAATAAATGTATTCACTATTGTGTACACTATTAATATAATTCATTACTAATTCAATTAAATAATGTAGTCTAGTTGATTCATTCATGTACATTAATATTGATGATTTATTTTTGCAATATTAATAATCAATAAAATAATAAATAAAAAGTTAAAAATAAATGAATAAATAATTATTTAAAATTCTAATAAATAATATACACAAACAATAATAATAATAATATAATAATAATAACCACATGGAGTAAACATTTTTACAGTGTAACTTGAAAAACATTTTAAACTGTCTGAGATCATAAAAAGAATAAAGACACTCTTTATTTCCAGCAGCGCAAATAACAACAAAGAGAATAAAGTATGCACAAGTTCAGTGTTTAAATTATTATCAACAGTAAGGAAACTGGTAAAAATCACATTCTCTGCCATAAGTGCTTTGTACATGTTACACATTTACAGTGTAGCACATTTAGACATTGGCTGAAGTATAAGGAGCAAATCGTTCCTTTTTCACAAGAACAAAGTAAGAAAAAAGCTTCTTCAGCCAATTTAACAGTTTGCAAGGTCACGCTGACACATCTCTATCGTGCTAAAGAAAACTCAACCACGTGATCAAGCATCATCTCTAAACACTTCAACACACACTCAACCTGAATGCAAAAATAGCTGACTATGTACAGAACTCTATGAGAGAATCCCTGACACCTCTGTATATATAACAACGGCACAATATGGCTTTCATTGCAGTCCTGGCATTTTTGGGGACAGATGCTACATTAAATTCATACTGAATTAAAGAAAAAAAATATATACTCACAGGTTCAACACCACATTACTGACAATACCCAATAGATGCCTTTTACATTAAACATTACTATTCAAAACATAACAATGTGAATAAACACAATTTTACATAATGTAATACTTGGGACTTTCTACAAATATAGCACACTTTGGTGTCACACTATAAAAAGGAAAAGAAAATATTTGTAATATGAACTATTGTTATTATATTAGCATAAAATTATGAATTATCATACATTAACATTTTTGTCTGTGGAACTGATAAATATAAAAATATTTGTCATTAAAATGTTTTATATATATCACAATATTAATATAATTAATCAATAGAAAATAAATAAATGTATTCACTATTGTGTACACTATTAATATAATTCATTACTAATTCAATTAAATAATGTAGTCTAGTTGATTCATTCATGTACATTAATATTGATGATTTATTTTTGCAATATTAATAATCAATAAAATAATAAATAAAAAGTTAAAAATAAATGAATAAATAATTATTTAACTAATAAATAACTAATAAATAATATACACAAACAATAATAATAATATAATAATAATAATAACCACATGGAGTAAACATTTTTACAGTGTAACTTGAAAAACATTTTAAACTGTCTGAGATCATAAAAAGAATAAAGACACTCTTTATTTCCAGCAGCGCAAATAACAACAAAGAGAATAAAGTATGCACAAGTTCAGTGTTTAAATTATTATCAACAGTAAGGAAACTGGTAAAAATCACATTCTCTGCCATAAGTGCTTTGTACATGTTACACATTTACAGTGTAGCACATTTAGACATCGGCTGAAGTATAAGGAGCAAATCGTTTCTTTTTCACAAGAACAAAGTAAGAAAAAAGCTTCTTCAGCCAATTTAACAGTTTGCAAGGTCACGCTGACACATCTCTATCGTGCTAAAGAAAACTCAACCACGTGATCAAGCATCATCTCTAAACACTTCAACACACACTCAACCTGAATGCAAAAATAGCTGACTATGTTCAGAACTCTATGAGAGAATCCCTGACACCTCTGTATATATAACAACGGCACAATATGGCTTTCATTGCAGTCCTGGCATTTTTGGGGACAGATGCTACATTAAATTCATACTGAATTAAAGAAAAAAAATATATACTCACAGGTTCAACACCACATTACTGACAATACCCAATAGATGCCGTTTACATTAAACATTTCTATTCAAAACATAACAATGTGAATAAACACTATTTTACATAATGTAATACTTGGGACTTTCTACAAATATAGCACACTTTGGTGTCACACTATAAAAAGGAAAAGAAAATATTTGTAATATGAACTATTGTTATTATATTAGCATAAAATTATGAATTATCATACATTAACATTTTTGTCTGTGGAACTGATAAATATAAAAATATTTGTCATTAAAATGTTATATATATATATATCACAATTAGCAGTCGTCTGCATTTTGTATGCAAGCCTGTTACTACATAATTTTCCAACATTACAAAAAAATTAAATATTGCTTAAAATTTTGATACCCAAGAAATAACATCATGTTATTTAGGACCCTTTAGTGGGAAAGACAAGTAAACTATAAAACGTAAAATATAATCATAGTATATTTTCATTTTTTAAAGAAATTGACAGCAATCATCAAGTGTAGTTATTCAACCCAGTTACCATGGTTATTGTAAGATAACTAATGGTCTCATTTGCTAACATTAGTTAATGCATTAACTAAGATGAACTATAAATTAGCAATAACCTTTATTAATGTTCATGTTATTTCACAGTGCATTAATTAATGTCAAAAGACACTACTTTTGATTTTAAAAAATGTATTAGTAAATGTTGAGATCAACATTAAGATTAATAAATACTGTAAAAGTATTGTTCATTGTTAGTTCAGATTAACTAATTTGGTTTACTAATGTTAACACATGGAAACTCATTGCAAAGTCTTACTCTAATATTCTTCTTAAATTTTTTGGAAATACAAGTTTTATTTATAAACACAAACCAACATTTGGTCCCAAACTAGCTAGTCCTAACTCCATTTAGGCTAAATGTGCAACCCTGTTACCCAAGCCTGTTTTGAAAGTACTCATTTTAACAACCCAGATGTACTTTATTCATGTAAAGTGCCAATTAAATTATTATTTTTTGAGCCACTCTGTCCATGAGACCTTTTCATTTCCCGATCTTTATACACATTCCTTAAAGTCACACCCTCATTAAACACTTTCCGTCTATTGAGTGTTCAGGAAACGTCCTGCTTTCAAGACAAAGGAGTGGAGCAGTTCATGCTGGGTATCGACTTGTAGACAAAGTAAAAGTGTTCACGCTTCGGTCGACTGTGTAACTCTGCCTTTATCCACTGTGGGTGTGTGTCTGCGGCCAACTGCTGGCTGCTCTCGTCCGTGTAAAGAAACAGGCCGTAGTTTTCTGGATCAGACACGCGGAATTTGAGCGCACAAAGACGACACACCTCTTCTGTCGTGGCGTAGGGCCGCACCTGAAGGGTTTTAGCCGTGCAGCCGCTATCTGCCTTCTGCAGGGCCACTCGCATGTAGTTCTTCACACAAACAAACAGATATTATAGAGTTAGTTCATATCTATAAAATGCAATTAACTTGGCAAATACTGTCCGGAGGTCAGGATTTTACCTGGAAGTCGTCCACTGAGGGCAGGTCTCTCTGCAGTGTGCGACGCTGGTGCCACTGGTGGAGTGTGTCGCGTGTTGTAGAGCCGAGTACTCGAGCAGCCTGCTCTTCCTGGAAGTTCTTAATCAGTGACATTGCTCCATATGCACTGGTGAGGTAATATCCTCCTGTACAGGATCAAGAGAAAGGAGCATCTTAATATACAGAACAAAAACCTAGTGAACATCCCAAAACCTAAATAAAAAAAAACTTGTTTAGTACCATAAAGTATTGCTAAAAATCTACTTGAAAATTTATTATTTTTACCTATTTAACCTGTTTGTGGTCGGTAAGATTTTTAAAAATGTTTTTGAAATAAGCTCACCAAAGCAACATTTATTTGATAAAAACAGTTAAAACATTAATATTGTGAAATATTATTACAATTACAAATAATTTTAATTTGTCTTCAGTGCCACATGATCCTTCAGAAATCATTCTAATATGTTGATTTGGTGCTCAAGAAACATTTCTTATTATTATCAAATAATATACACAAACAATAATAATAATATAATAATAATAATAACCACATGGAGTAAACATTTTTACAGTGTAACTTGAAAAACATTTTAAACTGTCTGAGATCATAAAAAGAATAAAGACACTCTTTATTTCCAGCAGCGCAAATAACAACAAAGAGAATAAAGTATGCACAAGTTCAGTGTTTAAATTATTATCAACAGTAAGGAAACTGGTAAAAATCACATTCTCTGCCATAAGTGCTTTGTACATGTTACACATTTACAGTGTAGCACATTTAGACATCGGCTGAAGTATAAGGAGCAAATCGTTTCTTTTTCACAAGAACAAAGTAAGAAAAAAGCTTCTTCAGCCAATTTAACAGTTTGCAAGGTCACGCTGACACATCTCTATCGTGCTAAAGAAAACTCAACCACGTGATCAAGCATCATCTCTAAACACTTCAACACACACTCAACCTGAATGCAAAAATAGCTGACTATGTTCAGAACTCTATGAGAGAATCCCTGACACCTCTGTATATATAACAACGGCACAATATGGCTTTCATTGCAGTCCTGGCATTTTTGGGGACAGATGCTACATTAAATTCATACTGAATTAAAGAAAAAAAATATATACTCACAGGTTCAACACCACATTACTGACAATACCCAATAGATGCCGTTTACATTAAACATTTCTATTCAAAACATAACAATGTGAATAAACACTATTTTACATAATGTAATACTTGGGACTTTCTACAAATATAGCACACTTTGGTGTCACACTATAAAAAGGAAAAGAAAATATTTGTAATATGAACTATTGTTATTATATTAGCATAAAATTATGAATTATCATACATTAACATTTTTGTCTGTGGAACTGATAAATATAAAAATATTTGTCATTAAAATGTTTTATATATATATATATATATATATCACAATTAGCAGTCGTCTGCATTTTGTATGCAAGCCTGTTACTACATAATTTTCCAACATTACAAAAAAATTAAATATTGCTTAAAATTTTGATACCCAAGAAATAACATCATGTTATTTAGGACCCTTTAGTGGGAAAGACAAGTAAACTATAAAACGTAAAATATAATCATAGTATATTTTCATTTTTTAAAGAAATTGACAGCAATCATCAAGTGTAGTTATTCAACCCAGTTACCATGGTTATTGTAAGATAACTAATGGTCTCATTTGCTAACATTAGTTAATGCATTAACTAAGATGAACTATAAATTAGCAATAACCTTTATTAATGTTCATGTTATTTCACAGTGCATTAATTAATGTCAAAAGACACTACTTTTGATTTAAAAAAATGTATTAGTAAATGTTGAGATCAACATTAAGATTAATAAATACTGTAAAAGTATTGTTCATTGTTAGTTCAGATTAACTAATTTGGTTTACTAATGTTAACACATGGAAACTCATTGCAAAGTCTTACTCTAATATTCTTCTTAAATTTTTTGGAAATACAAGTTTTATTTATAAACACAAACCAACATTTGGTCCCAAACTAACTAGTCCTAACTCCATTTAGGCTAAATGTGCAACCCTGTTACCCAAGCCTGTTTTGAAAGTACTCATTTTAACAACCCAGATGTACTTTATTCATGTAAAGTGCCAATTAAATTATTATTTTTTGAGCCACTCTGTCCATGAGACCTTTTCATTTCCCGATCTTTATACACATTCCTTAAAGTCACACCCTCATTAAACACTTTCCGTCTATTGAGTGTTCAGGAAACGTCCTGCTTTCAAGACAAAGGAGTGGAGCAGTTCATGCTGGGTATCGACTTGTAGACAAAGTAAAAGTGTTCACGCTTCGGTCGACTGTGTAACTCTGCCTTTATCCACTGTGGGTGTGTGTCTGCGGCCAACTGCTGGCTGCTCTCGTCCGTGTAAAGAAACAGGCCGTAGTTTTCTGGATCAGACACGCGGAATTTGAGCGCACAAAGACGACACACCTCTTCTGTCGTGGCGTAGGGCCGCACCTGAAGGGTTTTAGCCGTGCAGCCGCTATCTGCCTTCTGCAGGGCCACTCGCATGTAGTTCTTCACACAAACAAACAGATATTATAGAGTTAGTTCATATCTATAAAATGCAATTAACTTGGCAAATACTGTCCGGAGGTCAGGATTTTACCTGGAAGTCGTCCACTGAGGGCAGGTCTCTCTGCAGTGTGCGACGCTGGTGCCACTGGTGGAGTGTGTCGCGTGTTGTAGAGCCGAGTACTCGAGCAGCCTGCTCTTCCTGGAAGTTCTTAATCAGTGACATTGCTCCATATGCACTGGTGAGGTAATATCCTCCTGTACAGGATCAAGAGAAAGGAGCATCTTAATATACAGAACAAAAACCTAGTGAACATCCCAAAACCTAAATAAAAAAAACTTGTTTAGTACCATAAAGTATTGCTAAAAATTGATTATTTTTACCTATTTAACCTGTTTGTGGTCGGTAAGATTTTTAAAAATGTTTTTGAAATAAGCTCACCAAAGCAACATTTATTTGATAAAAACAGTTAAAACATTAATATTGTGAAATATTATTACAATTACAAATAATTTTAATTTGTCTTCAGTGCCACATGATCCTTCAGAAATCATTCTAATATGTTGATTTGGTGCTCAAGAAACATTTCTTATTATTATCAATGTTTTTTTTTTCACTTTTGGTCAATTTGCTTATAGTCATTGCTGAACAAAAGTATTAATTTCTTTCCCAAAAGAAAAAAAAAGCACACGACATGAACGGCAGTGTATATTTATGTGTGCTATGAAGTTTATATGCATATTAGAGTTATGCATAATTAGTGTATTAATATTTTAACATTGAATGAACTGTGAGTCGAGCATCCCTTTGCATGTGAAAACTGCTATTTTTGTGGCATGACGTTGCTGCCCATCACTTTTTCAGCAGTGCTGTTTTTGGAAATATTTTCGTTTTTCCCATAAGGACTTTAAAAATCTTTGTTAAAGTGTTATAAGCAATGAACCAAACCAACCGAGAATCACAACATTGCAAACTTTTAAAGCAAACTTTTGATTTGAAGCAAAAAAATAATAATTTGATAATCAGACAAAAGAAAAGGTACAAAACTGTGTACTTAAGAGTTTTAATGAAGGAAAGAACTACAATCCCATGCAGCATTGCATATGATATAATCAAATTAAAACAACTAAGATAAATATAAAACTACTTATTTAAAGGTGTTGGTTGTATCTATAGAAACGAAACATAATATTTTCATGGGAGTGGGTGGAACCTTTTGGTGCGCTTTGCTCACCGCAACTCCCTGACTAATGAAATTTTCTAAACGGCATCGTGGGTATTGTATTTTCCACCACAAATTCTGCTATTAAACACAAAAGAAGTTAAAAGTTAGTTCTGTCAGGACCACTATCGTCAAAGATGATTGACAATTAGCATACAGTTTGGATTGGCGGTATGGTTCTGTTCTGGGCAAGAACTCCCTGCGCATCCATGCAGCCTAGCATGGATGAGAGCAGGGAGAGCAGCAATAACCCCCCAGGGTAAACAGAACAGAACCAACATAAACGTATTGCAGATACTGTTAAACTTCAATAATTGTAAACATTTTAGAATTGTACACATTTTAGAATTAGTCTGATTCAAGGAGAATCAGAAGGCTGAATCCTGACTGACAGAGGAGGAGCTGGGGATGGAGGAGGGTAATTAGCTATTGAGCAATGCGAAAACTGCTGATAATACTGAGGGACCTTATATATGAATGCTTAGATAGGTGTCGTATTCCCATAGGTAGATGGGGATCAG